CATGTGCGAAGAAGAAACTGTGCGATAGACTGCCAAAAACAGTGTTTATATTTTTCTGAACTGCCTAACTCGGGTGGCATCCACCGACTCAAGAAGACGCAAAGTATTCCGATCGTCGATCCGCCTTCTGTTAGCTTACTTAAACATGCAAATGAAACTATAAAATTCGTCTTCCTTTGAAATCTTGTTGTGAATTTAAAAAGTCTCCCAAATTCGGTTGTAGTATTTGTGTATAATTCTAAAAACATTTTGTTTGATATTTTATTTTAAATGTGAATATACTTCAGCTTTACACGCTTTGAAATAATTTATTGCATGATTTGCGTTTGCAAAAGTCCTAGACCTTTCCCCGCAGGGGCTTAGACACGGCGTTCAAGATTATGATAGTCCTCTATCATGCAGACGGTTAAGAAATGAATGAGGGAAATAACATTCGGGTCTAAGTTTTAAATGACGCTGCATTGCGCTCCAGTCTCTGACGGCGTAGATTAGAATCAATGGTGCAACCTATTCAAATGAATGTGTGCGAAGTGGACAACCTAAAGCGTCATAGGGTTTTGGGACTAAAGTCAGTTATAAACATTGATAAATACCCAAACATCCCTAATTCTCACGGTTTATGCGCAGCAAGAACTGTTCTACTCTGGTAGACTCCAAATTAATTAACAGTTCTCGCGCAGATCAATAAATTTTGCAAAAATGGCTTGGTTTTTGCTACCAACTTAATGAAAACTTAGTAAGAGTAAAACACCTTTTCTTATTTCATCAACGACATTAGTAAGCCCTTCGTATGGTTGTGGACAAGCATTCGTTTCGTTCGTTCCACTACCCCCTTAAAGGCAGAAATGTTATCTGAAAGCCATGAAATGATCAGTAGGTCTGACGGATGGAGTCCACGTGTTGTGTTTGTACCACAGTTTCAGAAACCGCTTAAATTAAGTCCGCTTTTCAAGATCTAGGTGGTTTACTGCTGCCCCCACCTGCCCTTGAATGGATTGTAGAATCTTAAAAGGAAGGGATACCACAACTCATTATCTTCTGCCCGCTTATCATTTTTTCAGTTAAGTCGGTCGAGTTATCGTGAGACTAACAATTTACTACACCCTTTCGCGCCATATTGAATGAAACTATCTTGTCGATTATTGAGGTTATGTATAATTTAGAAAGTTTATCCGGCAAACATATGTTTTCAGTCCTTCATCATCAGGTCAGTGCCGTTGCAGGGATAATGATAATCGTACAATTGGACAGGGTCAATAAGGGTCATTTGACTAAAAGTAATCATTTTCACGCCACCCGCATGGCGAGATCCGCGTGTAGACGTCCTGGCGCTGGAGAAGGAGGGAAGGGGTGGAAATGAGGATAGGTTGTGAGCGTTGGTCATGGGTCAGGTACGTGGAGTGATAATTACTGTCACTTGCACAGAGCGAGTTACTGTCACTTGCTCTTGTAAAACAGGATATATTGGCCGAACAACGGGGTGCCTAGAAAAGAGAATACGTGAACACATACCGGCTTGTTTGGGTTAAGCCGAAACTAGATCGATCTTGAGTTCTATTCCCGCACACCTTGTCGATACGAGTCACCGAGTTCATACTAATGAAGCCTTCCAGGTTGTCTACCGGACAACAGCCAACTTCGTCAAGGGCCTATGCCAAAGGGTGCTAGCAACACCCGAGGCAGTGGCACCAGGGCTAGCGAATCCAGTGCTGTGCTCTCAGAAGACGTCAAGACAAGCCCTTTTAGTTCCGCGCCGACGCCAGGTGGCGATCGGATATCGCCCCACCTCCTAGTGATAGTCGTTCGCTTCGTGCAAGTGACAGTAATTATCACTCTACGTACTTGACCCATGATCAAAGCTCACAACCTATCCTAATTTATTCCCCTTCTCCCTTACCCCAGCGCAGGGACGTCTACACGCCGACCTCGCCATGCGGGCGGCGTGAAAACGATGACTTTTAATCAAAGGACCCTTTTTAACTCTGTCTTACTGTACGATTTTAACAATCCCTGCAATTGTACCGACCTGAGGCTGAATTGCTGAAAATATATGCTTGCCAAATAAACTTTCCAAATGAACCATGAGAATATTTGCAAACGCATGCAAAATTATTAAAACACTGTTTTTTTCTTAATTTAGTAGCAAATTAGAAACAACCTATTTTCGCCGTCTGCTGTTATATATGACACTTGCCCTCTTATTGAATAGTACGTCCGCCTCCTCTGTTATAACCAAGGTTCTGCTTTTGATTCTCAGCAAAATCAACTGTCTGCTTTATGCTTCGGCGGATGAGACCCTCGAGGACATATCTTGCCTCCATTGGTGTTATAACAGACCCACCCGCGCAGGTCACTCACCCCGCTCGTCGCTATCAAAAACGACGGCTAAATCGTGAGAGTCAGCCCTCGGGGAGCTCCGTGG